AGCAGCTCTGAATCACTCTATCGTGTCGGCTGAAGTGGCTTTAGATGGAAGTTGGTTCCGATCCCTGATGGTCTTTGAGAAGAATGAATGTCCATAGGTGTCAGTTTTTGTTTTTTCTTGGTAAAAGCGGCCTATACCTCTGGTCCGGCTGTCGTTTGGGATTAGATATTGTTGTCTGTCTATATCTATTAGCCCATGCTGGATTTTAAATAGCATACATAGTCTGTTGGTTTTTTTACGTTCTTCCAGGCTTTCCCACTGTAGTTGTTTTACCATGTGTGTTACACAGCCAGGTGTTTGATCTGTGTAGTTGTTATGGACAAATCTTGCTGCTCTTTTTTGAACTTGTTCTTATGATTTGATCTTTTTTCGGCTTGATGAATCCCAAACTGTGCAGGCATATTCCACTGAAGGTCTTACGATGGCTGTATATGTTGCTGCTTTTACTGGTTTAGTGCAGTCTTTCAGATTTCTTCGGATAAATCCCAATGTTTTATTGCCTTTGCCTACAATGTTTTTAATGTGTCAATCCCAGGATAGGTTGTTGCTGATGGTTAAACCTAAGTATTTGCTGGCGTCAACATTTTCTAGTGTATGTCCGCCAAGTTTGTATGAGGTATCTATTACTTCTTTGTTCTTCTATGTTATTCTGATTACTATGCATTTTTTTGCGTTGAAGCTCATTTGCCATTTATTCTCCCAGTCTTCTAATGATGTTAGGTCTTTTTGCAGAAGGTCACTGTCTGCCTGGTTGTCGATTGTTCTAAAGAGAAGGCTATCGTCTGCAAATAGTTTGGTTTCAGATGACGTTGATGTTTCTGGCATGTCATTTATGTAGGTCAGAAACAATAGAGGTCAAAGAACTGTGCCTTGGGGAACGTCAGATAGTACCGGGACTTGAGAGGAGATAGCTACTTCTAATATTACGCTCTGCATTCTCTTTTCGAGGAATGAGTGAATCCATTTTGTAGCTTTAGGGTTAACTCCTTAATTTTCTAGTTTGTGTAAAAGGCGATGATGTGGTACTTTGTAGAATGCCTTTGCAAAGTCAAGAAGGATGATATCGACTTGGGATCATTTTTTTTTGAATGTCGTTGACGGTTATGATTAGTTGTGATTCGCATGATCGTTTTTTTCGGAATCCATGCTGTACATTATTTAGGATGTTATGTTTGTCAAAACGGTCCATTATACTGCTGTGGACTATGTGTTCCAAGACCTTGCATGTAAGTGACACAGGTCTGTAGTTGGAAGCTAAGTGGCTTTCGTCTTTCTTGAATAGGGGTACCACATTAACATCTCTCCAATCTTGTGGGACTTCACCGGTCTTGAGAGATGTTTGGTACAGATCTGTCAGAAAAGGAGCGAGTTGGTCTGCCGCTGTTTTCAGTATGAAGGATGAAATTGAGTCTGGACCAGTAGATATGTGTGGTTTTAGGTTTTTCAGTAGTTTGTGTACTCCCTCGGTGCTGATTTTGATATCATCCATGGTGGAATATGGGCTCTTTCCTTTGTTGGGAAAGTTATTTAGGTTTTCCTTTGTAAATACTGACTGGAATTGTTCATTGAGTATCTCAGCTTTGCTCTTATTATCGCGTTGTAGGAATCCCAAATCTGTTCTTTAATGGTGCTACTCCTGTCCATTGTTGACCTTTGCTCTTTATATGCGACCAAAATTTCTTCGAGTTGTCTTTGTAATTGGTGCTTACTTCTTCCATGTATTTTTTGTTGGCTTGCCTGACTTCCCACTGTGCCTCTTGTTTGAGTCTCTTATAACTATCCCCGTCTCTTTTCTTTTTTGTTTTCCTGGCTGTCTGAAATGAACGCACAGCCGCATTTGACAGGTTGGAATGGGGATTTTAAGACTATTTATCATCTGGCGAATTTTACCCCCGGTTTTTAATGGGGTTCATGTTGCTTAGTCTTCGGTTTTATGATGCTGTGTTTTGTATATCTATTGTTTGTCTCTTGAATGTTTTTAGTCTTTTGTCATGGTATTGCCAGTATGTTTTTGACTAATGAGTATGAATACCCATTTGTTATCTGTCGCCTCTCTTTCATGTCTAATTAGACAGTGTCCATTTCTTTCTTATTTATATAGCTTACAGTAGTTAAGTTGTTCTCCTCCCATGGAGTCCATATAAAAATGACCTTGTTATTTGTTAAATGTTTATGAATTTGTCTCTATTAAGGTACATAAATATTCCCACAATCTCAGCAGTAGTAGAAATTTCTATGTTATAACCCACATTTCCAACTGTATGTTCAGCAAAATCACTCAATCAATCGTTTTGACTTGTGAGCAAAAATACTTTCACTAATTGTTTTTTAGTGTTTGGATGGTTACATAAAGCATAGTTTGTTCATACTGAACTACTAGCATATACCATAACATAATTTCATGTTTAAGTTGTTATAATATTATCTGATGAAAGTTGGATTTGAACTGGTTTTTAGTAACTGTGTATACTCTTAGGGCAGTACTTTGTGTATTTTGTGATTTTTTTTATTTTTTTTTGTTGTAATGTTACATCACAGTCCAATTTCAGGGGATAGTTGAGCGCGCATACATAAGATTAACCGCGCGTCATTCGATATGTGTCTGTTCCGAGCCAGGAGCCTTAAGTTCAGTAGATGTCGAAAATTCAAACGAGAGGGTACAAAATGTGAAAAAAACATTATTATAAAAGGTGTCGTTGCAAGTGCCTCCATAGATCTGAAAGAAGCTAAAGGTTCCTTTCTGAATTTTTTAAATTTCTGCTAAAATATGGGGACTGTATATAAATACATGAAGTTTTGCACTCCTTATCAACTATGAACGAGTAGGTCATATCCCTTGCACCCTATGTTCCATTACCTATGCTTAATATAGTGAAAAGTAACAATACTGTATTGATACAATGTAGGTTTGATGTAGTAATCTTTTGGAAGCTTCAATTGTAATTGCAAAAGTATGAAATGTCTTAATTCAGGACAAAATGATTATCAAGTGAATCTTAACGAGACAAAAACCTTACAGATGGTAAATTACAAATTATCATTTAGAGTCTTATAAATTGAGCTTGTAATATCACATTACGAGAAATTTCAAATAAAAGATATACAAACTGATCGGGCGAAAATTGTCTCATCATTTGTAATTAGTGAGAATATTAAGTTTTCCGTGGAAAATCCAGCTGTCTCTCATTCCTTAGTAAACACAATGTCCTCTGACAATACTGTGTAAGCAAAAACATGATTGGTTAATTTGTTGTAGAAACAGAATAAGACTAACTTTTGTAAAAAATTCCGCTCAAGCCAGTGCTAGGGGTCGTCTTAAGTGAGGTGAGAGTTTTTTGGCTCCGTGTTGAAGGCCTCGCTGTGACTTTGAGATGAAGAACAGCAAGAAATGCGTTGTTCCTTTGCTTTTATTGTGTGTGTATTTTTGGCCGTGCATGTAATGATTTCGTCATGGATGGATACCCCATATCATTTGCTTTTCCTATTGTATGACCTTCTAAATGATATAATCAAGAAATTATTTACGTATGTCGTTTTATTTTAAAATATTAAATAATGTACTAGTTTATATCATTTTTTTTAAATATCATCATACCACCTAAAGGTGATATTATTTCCATAACTTAATTTCCTAAAGAACATGTTTTATGAAGTTTTAGACCATTGTAGATATATTGTAAGATAAAAGATTGATAACTGTGAAAATAGTCAATTGTCTCTATCATACGTCAAGCGTCAAATCGTCCCAAGTTTAGTAAAGTTGTGAACATATATACAAATAAAAGAGGGACGAAAGATACCAGAGGGACAGTCAAACTCATAGATCGAAAACAAACTGACAACGCCATGGCCAAATAAATTACCATCGACTCTCAATTTCTTTAAGAACGAAAAAAATATTATACATTTCTTTAAATACAAAATGCCACAGAGACTGAACAAATAAAGTGAACATGTGGATGACATTACAATTCTAGATGATGTTATAATTTTAGAGATATTTGTACAAATGTTTCTAGTCGAATTATACTATCTATACTTCTCTGTATCAAATTACTCTACAATGCGTCTAAAAGAACACCATCGAAAATTCGTTGTCTGATTTAAAATGAATACAATTTATAATGATAATAGTAACTACAATATTAACGACATCACACAAAATGAGAAGATCGGAAACGGCACACGCCAACAGAGGAAGGTAATATCAGAGGAAACAAGTCAGGCGAACGGACAAACAAGGAAATGCATATCCGATAAATACTGGGTGAGGTGTCAGGAAGGGTAAATATACCTTGCTTAAATGTATAACCTAGTGGTAAGCCGATCATGAATGAAATATAGTAAGTGTCAAACTGAATAAAGGAAAGTGAAAAACGTAAGAATCTACACATAGTAACACACAGCGTTTCTCGCGTGATAGCGACCAACTCATGGCATCGGTTGTAGGATTTGGATAGTGTTAGCATGAGCTTGAATTCGCAGTGAAGATATGTTGTACTTCTAAAATGAATGACATGAGATTAAACTAGATTTTTCATTCGTAATTGACTGACACATGTTACACGTGCAATCCAAGACAGTTTCATCAGTTGACGTGGTAAGCAAATTTCGTGTGGATTGAGGAAATACATATATTTTCGTGCATGGATACTTGATTTCGAGGTTTTGACAAATTCTGCATGCAAACATACAAATTTAGTTTTGTTTTGAACAATTTATTTTTTGGTTCATCTGCTATTGTATACCAACGAAATCCAAGAAAATTAGTATCAAACAATGAATCACCATGTAGTTTCTGTCAATTATCAACAAAAAAATGCTTATCCATAAATGATAGCTTGATTCACACAGAAACCAACCTGTGACGACGACTAAGATATTTTTTCAATTGAATTCATGAGTTCAGGCTTAATATAAGCCTGACTGAAAAATGTATGTCTGTTCTGTTCGTACATTCAATATTGTCCTTTAAAACTGTAGAGTAACACGAAATTATACTCAATAACTTCCTAAAACTAAAAATGTAGACATAACATATTCGATAGACAAGGCAAATCAAATTTTACATACATGTACATAATGAAATGAGTCTTATACATACAACAGTCATGATTTCCGTCCTTTCAAAGATGAAATGTATCAAGTGACAAACCACCCCTTTCCGAAACAACCATTTTGATTAATTATTAAATTAGTTCTCGTCCTGTTGGTGGGTGATATATTTGCCACTGGACATTTAGTAGACAACAACAATTGTTTATGGATTTTGATTGTTATGTAACTTATGAAGTCATATTATTTGACCTAAGCCAACCACATGTGCTGTATATTACATCATACTCAGGTGACATACTTATGTAACCTGCGAACATTAATCCTTGATGCAACACGTAAGACAGATTATGCAACAATATGAATTATGCATCATATGATTGTTACTTAGATCACATGATCTGTTTGTCATATGACGAGTATTATACGTGTTGTAGATAACTGTAATGTCGTTGTACATGTTGAACTTTTGGCACTGATTGTCGAACTACGTTATCGTAAATCATAGCTCGATTATCATATCCTGTCTTTGGTTGTGAGTGGCGTACATTGCTTTTCTAAAAATAGAAGAAATTTTGTCATACTTAATATGGAACAAATTAATTTGATTTTTCCTTCAAACTGGTCCTGTAGAAAACGAATTAATGAACATAGAGGTTTATAAAAATTGTGCGTCCGAAGCACTTTTCTCAAATTTACCTTCATCAGGAACGATTTGAAATTCGAGGATTATCTATATAAATAGGAAGATAAAACATTAGTTTCTTAATAATTTCTGAATTTATCAAGGGCGAATTTAAGAAAATATGTTCTAAACTCATGTCAGTACTGTGCTGATGATATTCTCTAGGAATAGCAGTATGATGATACCGTCTAGGACTGCAGTCAACCCGCAGCGGAATCGACATTTATCATAAAGACAAAAGTATTTTCAATGTCAACTGTCCTTAACTTATTTTATTTTGAATTGTCTTTCAATACTTTGGTTTTTTTTTGTATATTCAAAGAAATATTCATAAATAAAAAAGACAATGTATGTTGAAATAAGAAAAGTTGTTTTAAATGTTTAATTCTGTTAAAAATTGAATTGTTATCACAAAGAAAAAACAACCAGCAGGTAAAAACAAAATCAATACTTACTGGTCTTTTGGAAATTGGTTTTTGTTTTTGTGTTTGCGTGGTGTCCGACTTTCGATAACAACAGCAGGTCGTTGTTATAATGATAATTAATATAAGTATTGAAGCCCCGGCTCCAAAGGCAATGATTACGAATAAATCTGAAAGAAATAAAAGGTAATTATTAAAACTATATATTTTAATGTTGACGAAATAAAGTGCAAAAAAATAACTAATCAAAGATACCAGGCTTATAATTGTGTACGCCAGACGTGCGTTTCTTGTACAACAGACTTATCAATGACGATCGAATTGAAATTAAAACTCGGTCGTAAAAAAACAACATTTTGACATGATACTTACAAATGAATTGAATAAAATTGTCAGAAATTGCGTGTTTTCAATTGTCATATTTACGCATGGTCAATTGTTGCAAGATTTCCAGTTCATCAACTTTTCAGCAGTTTTAAATACTATAAGTTAACTTTTAACTATTATTTTCGAGGTTCATGATAAATCAAATATACAGTAAAATGATTATAATTTGGAAGAAAGATAACCTTTAGATTAAAATTAGAACTAGACTTATTTTTCCTTCATTTTCGATTATTCAAAGGTTTTAATATATCTAATATTCCATATTTTATTTTCTCATCAATATCAATTTGATAATATTTCTGGTTGTTCAAACAGTTTTTGTACGTATATGAAATGAATATGAAAGAAATAATAGACTGTTTTAACCATGTACGCCGCTCAAAAATACATACTTATTTAAAGTCTATCTAATGCGGAAGTTTTGTTATATGCAAGTGCTGTGCATTGAGTAACCTCAACCAAATTATCATAAAAACTAAAATTCTGTTGATTCGTAACCTTAGTTCCATAATGGTGATATAATATAGTCAAGCTTAACACCAGCATTAAAAATATCATGTACATAAATCTGAAATGTATCACGCATTAAAAAGACTTAAAAAAACTCATCATAGATACCAGGCTTATAATCTTGTATGCATCACACGCGTTTCGTCTACTACAGACTCACCAGTGACGCTCGAATCAATGAAGTTAAAAGGACAAATCAAGTACTAAGTTGAGGAGCATGGTAGACTCATAATTCCGAAAGGTTTTGCCAAATATAACTAAGGTAATCAATTCCTCGGGTAAAAAATCATCAGTTCTTCAAACAATTCAAAGTTTGAATGATCGCAAGAGGATTGTTGTATGAGTATTGATGCACACACACACACACACACACACACACACACACACACACACACACACACAGAGTGAAACAAAACTATAAGAGGAAAACAAATCAAACAAACAATTGGAACAATGGAAACCACTTTTTGACGTACTTATGATTTGCCGCAAAGAAATAACTTCATTTTTTTTAATACTCACTTTATAAACATAAAAAACAAATATGTTATGTGTAGTAACTACTGCACAAGAGTAAAATCTTATAAATGCTACTTTCGTGTTCTATGATTTTTATTAACAGTGTTTCGTTTATATCGTCCTTTAGTTTCCTAAACAGGATACAACCTATTTTACGTTTACCTTTAAATGCTGTATTCTATTTTTATTAATTACACTCATTTTTGTATAACGACCCTTTTGTAATAATATCCTTGATTGTATTTAAAAACTTCATATTCTATATTATACCCTCGTTGCATTTTTATAAATAGTCATATCCTATATCATACTCTCAAACACTCAAAGGTATGTTTTATACAGTTGATTTAAGCTGAAAGGTATGTTTTATACAGTTGATTTAAGCTGATGAATATCAATAAAAGTTAAACTATGTTAAATCAGTGGTGGAGGTTATTAAATAGCCTTAAAAAAAATTCCCACCCTTTTTATGAATGACATGAATTTTGAATAGTTTATTAATTAAATATAGGATTATTTCACCATGAACTTTGTTTGCCGGATCAATGCTAGCGGTGAATATTGAGAACACAATAACTTAAATACACATAGAACAACTCTTTTTACATGTTTTTTTTTATCTGCTCCGAGAAGTACTCGGACCAAAGTGATGTTCTTGAATTGTTGACAATATACTAAGATAGTTGTTATGACTTTTTACAGATCCGACCGGACCATTATTAAAGTTAACGTTGACCTGGTCTACTCCACGCTTTAGAAGTTAGTATAATAAAAAGTAAATATCTGAGTATGTCGAGGTTGTTCTGATTGATTTACTTTACTTTATTGAAATTCAGTTAACACCCATATGGGTCAATTGCTTAAAAGCAAACACGGTGAGAGAAATGAAAACAATATGCATATAAATCATACAATTATCAACGACATATTTATGTTAGGTATACATATAAAAATATATTTTCGTGGACTCCCTGCCCTCAAAACCACATGAACCATGTGACTTTAAAAAAAAAGGAAAAATAAGACGTCAGTGTTAAGAAGGGTCGTTTTAAAATGTTGGGACCGTGAAATGCTGTGTAATAAATCACCAATGAAATCAGGTGTATCATTTTGTTCATCAGATGCGCGTTTCGTCCACATAGGACTCAAAGTGTGGCTCGAATCAAAACAGTTGGAAGCTAAATCAATTATCAGGTTTTTACCAGATAAAGTTTACATAATTCAGAGATTCAGACCTAAATACCTGCAATATGAATGGCAACGATGTTATCATGAAATATCGTTCCTCAATTGTATTAATGTCATATGAGTAGCTGATTGTACAAACCACTTATTATATTATATTCTTAATATACTGTCCCACCAACATATTATATACGCAATATTTTCCTTTTTCATGGTAATATTTTGCAGTATACGAAAGGGTGCCTGTATATATAATACATCTAAAGATTTTTTATTGTGTAATATCAATCGGTCGACTAGCCCTCATATCTGCCAAAAGCAGACCTGTCACACGATAGTTCAAGAGCAAGACTTACCCACAGAACAGATCAAGAAGCAGATCTGTCACACGATAATTCAAGAGACAGACTTACCCACAGAACGGATCAAGAAGCAAACCCGTCCACAGGACCGTTCAAGATGCAAACTTATATTGTTTTTGTTTTTAGGATGCATATCATTTCTGCGACAAGTCTGGTAAAGTTGGAAAGTTCAGCTTGATCAGACATGTACTAACAATCGGTATGCAGCAGTATTAAAAAAACAAACCTATATGTCTGGTCTTTACAGAATAATTCTAACTTACTGTAATGCTCAGATTTTCTAAATTTATTTTAAACTAGCAGGTTAAACACTGATCTGAGTTGAATTGTGTATAGGTTACGGCCACACTCATATTTCTGTACAATGGATAAGTTTTAGGATTGACGAGATTATTTATGGAAACTTTTTTTCTCGTAGTTATGATTGTTCGAATAATGCAGTTTTTAAAGCAAAATAACAGACGTGTATTTCCTTCAAAGCATTTTAATAAAATTTCTGTAATAAGTGCAGAGCATTTTTGAGCTATTTTTTTAACTAGAGACGATAGGTGGAGTTGAAATTTTGTTTCCGACTTGGTTCGTCGTGTAAGTTTAAATTCTAAAATGTTTTCAATAATTCTCATCCGTCACCATGACATGAACAGATAATAAAAATTTTAATACAATTTGATACTTAGCTTGGTGCTTAAATGTCTGTTTACGTTTTGAAAGAGTTGTAGATTGATTGATTGATTGATAAAAAAATGTTATTTAAACTGTACGTATGTTATCCACATTTATGTTTGCATAGGTTTTGTTTTGCTCACGAATAAAGTGTTATTGACATGTACTGTAGTATAGAAACAATGTATAGAAGGTCTTAGTTTAAAAATGTTTAATTTTATAGTGTTTCTTATAGAATTTGAATATGAAGTAAAATCAACACACGGTAAATTGAAACAAAATCGTACAAAGGGACACAACTCAAACTAACGTTGCATAGATTCTGCAATATTACAACCCACGATAAATTATTCTTGCAAACAAGAATAAAGTTATCGCTTCATTTACTTTTAAGCCAAATCGAGCATGTATACCCATGAATGAACCTGTATATCCCAAAGAAATGAAACTATGGTAATAGTATGAAGACTTCAAATACTTTTTCGTTCTGGTTTACAGTTGGATATGTGTGGCTCAAGCTAATGTAAATAAAGAAGTTTTTATGATGTTATTATAATTGCAAAAATTGTAACGAGATACACGTAGGTGTCGCAAAAATAAAAACTCGCGTTTAAATTATCAAAGCAGTATTTCTGTGGAGCATTTCCTAACATCGCAATAATTAAACTCGCATCTGATTGTCGATTATCAACGATGACAATCGTAAATGCAGGTAATAATTTACTGTAGTTTCTGTGTTATTCATCGTGGATTGTTATTGTCTCAAATCCCTTTTTTATAGTAGTTTTGTATTCTTCTTATACATATGAGTCTCGACTAGTAGAATGACATATGTTTATTCTTTTAATTATAGCAAGTGCTTAAATATTGAAATCACGATGAAAACTACGAACAATTTTCGCTTTGAGTGTTTCATTCACAGGGTTCAACTATATTGTTCAAATGTAGTGTAATAAGAAACCTAAAGAGCCGGAAATAGACTCTGAAAGACTTTTTTATCAATTTAATATGCATCTATAAAATCAAAACGTTATATTTAGATTGCTTATAATGACAATTTTAAAATGATAAATCTACATTAAACATACTTTTGTAAACTTTTGAAACAAGGACATTTGCATTTAAAGTCAATTAATTTGAATTTATTATTCAATCCACAACTTAAATTCCCAGACGATTTTGGTTTTGTTGTTTTCAAAATAGTGTTTTGTATACTTATTTCTGATAAATTCTTATAACCTCAAATACATCATAATCTGTTAAATTGCAAATCTTAGCGATAACTAAGCATTTATTATTTGGAAAATTTGTTTAAAAAACACCAACAAACCCGAAAATTCACACATTGCGATATAATATATGGAATATATATTTTATAAATAAAGATAGGAAGCTTTAGCCTTCGTGAAAATGACCTAGGTGGAATATAAATTCAAAAGAAATCTTACTACAAGTACCTCTTTTTTGATGGCTTATGTTGAAAATAACATTTTGAGAATATACAGTCCGAGATTGCTCTGACGTCTGACGGATATATGGGAGACTCTATAGTGCTGCAACATGTTAGAGTACAGTCAAAATAGAAAATAGGAACTTGCTGACCAAGACTTGGGCTGAAAATTCTTGGTCTACTTCAGTGGTTTGTCAGAAGAATCTCAGACTAGATTATACACTAATAAAAATTTTGAATATACGCAGTTATTATTGTCACGTACCAACAACGAGTAATGAAAGAAACAATTGAAATGCTTCAATTAGGTCTATGAAGTAACTAGTCTGCGCTACATCATCCAAGGTCATTGATACTCGTATGAATTAAATGCGTCACTATTTACATTTATTGCAAGTTTTCTTAATTATCATTTATCTTAAAATGAAAAACCCTGTTATAGGTAAAGTTAAGTTGAGACGGGCTTGACTGTTTTTGTTTTTGCTTTTGTTTGCTTTTCTCAGGACTAGTCTACATTTTAAAGGTAATTTAAGGAACATGATTTATTGATTGTTGATATTTAAAGCTATTTTCAACACTCTTGTCTATATCGCGAAGGCCAGTCTTTATTTGTGGAAGAAGCTGGATTAAAAGAGAGAACCATCGAAAACTGTTAATCCTCGCCAATTAAGATAGGAGTCGAAAGCACCTGCAAAAATCGGGGTTTGAACTCACGACATCAGTGTACAGGCTATTGATCGCTGAAGATGAACTACTCAGATCACTCGACCACCGAGACCCCTAGAAACACATGTCGTTCTATTTGATAAAATGTATCATACATTGATCTTATTAATGCAAGTAGTGATGATTTTTGTTGGCATTCACAACTTTATGTGACATCATTTTGTACAAGCATTAGTTTTCATATTTGAGCATCGTCTGCAGATCCGTCATGCATGTTCATACTCGCAATTTTTTATATGGTCATTGTACAAGACTGTAAAAATATGTTTTTCAGTGTACCGTCGTTTCAGTTATTCATGTTTAACGCAACATATTTTCAACACATTATTTTTCGTTGGGACATTATTATTTATTTAAGGATGCATCAATCCATTGATATACACAAAATACAGATGATAACAGGTCGTCTTTTCCTACATTATCTTGTTACATTTAAAGCAGGAGGATCACTTACATAAAACTATTCATTTTCGACAACACAGAACACAACATGTATTTTGAAAGCCTATTGTTTTAAAAGAGCATTGCAAATATTTTGAGATACAGGTAAAAATATGATATTTAAAACACTCATAATTTATACTTATAGCATAAAAGCAGTACTGTTTCATTTTGAAGTTTTGGCTTTACATGCCGCGATAGGTTGAATTTCCGACCCTCATTTCACTATTTTGATTCATGAGTCATTAATAATTCTTTTCTAGACAAAACAAATATCTGTCGTACCAAATTATAAGCCTGATATCGTTTTCACAAGGTTCTCGTATATTTGATGAAAAATTAGCAAGAATTGTGACAAAAAGCAATGATTGATCGATAAAGTAATTTATTGTACATGTTGTAACGAAAACCTCATTTTAATCCAAATCTCATTTGAAACGACAAACATTTCTTTTTTTCAACTCATTCAATGGATACCAGTATACTTTGCGATTAGCATTATATTTCATTGATCTCTGATTTTTTATTTCTTTATTATGAAGTCATCATAAATAGAACATGTAAAACCTTGGCAAAAAACTGTCCTTATCGCTGAAACTGTATCTACTAAACATCTACTAAACATACATAAACTTGCCGATAAATTGTGTAATAATGCTGTTGTTAAATAAATTGATTGATTAATAAATGATGTTTAACGCCGACTTTTAACACTACTGGTTTATTTCGTGGTGGTCAGTTTTTATTGGTGGAGGAAGCCGGCGTGCCCTTCGACCTTCGGTAGGAAAACTGACAATCCTAGTCAATTAAGATTGGAGTAAAACGCAATCACAACCTCAGCGTTGACAGGCTAGTGATACAATAGTTGGACTATTTCGCCCACTCAGTCACCGATGCCCTGCTGTTGTGAAATCATTGCATTATTTCATGAAGGACGGATATTGAAATACGACAACAATTTTTATTTTATTTTTCTTAACTGTAATGTTGAAAATCTGTTTACAAATTAAATTTGGATATTGCATATTAGGATCGCATTTTCTACGATGTTCATAACATAAATAATTAAGGAGGTACACCGACTGATATTACAAATGTATATGAAGGCATAATTTCCAGTGAAATAGATTAAGTCTTTTTATGCAGCTTTCAGTAACTTCGAACATTCTTTTTTACTGTTGTTATTTGAACCGTGTTACTTGTACTAACGTTTAAACTGTCTGCAAAATCATTATTATAGAATATAATATTTTCGTACTTTGAAAACCAAACAAATAAAAACAGTACGACTCATCTATTCTAAACGTTCAAGTACCCAGTCATGCGGTTGTTTCTGAAATGTTCTTATAATTTTCTTTGTCCTTTACAAATTTTGGTGTTAATAGCAGATCATTGGTATTCGCTGGACCCCAAGGGTTAAACGGGGTCAAAAAATAAAGAAATTTCTTTGGCTGTATGTATAAATACGCACACAGATAGAATTTTCGACATTTTATCCGATGCCTCATGTAGTGCAATTGTTATGCTCTCTGTACGTAAATGAACCCTTGCAAATACTCTTGGAGAGGTCCGTAGATGACCTGTTGACGGCAAAATGTCAGCTTCCATCCTACATACCCTCACTTTCATGTGGTCGTCCAAATTTCACCAAGCAACGTTCAATTAATTAATTTGAAGTCTCCGTTAATTCCTTTATGTTGATTCTTGAAAACCTCTAGATGTCTTTTGTTTTAATTTGTTGTTCCTTTATGTACTATTTTGATGACATCTCATTGACATATATCCCATTCCAAAAAAATAATTTTAAAGTTAATTTTCCTTTTAGAATTTCAATCTTAGTTAGAAATATTCTTTTACTGGCAACTAAAATAAATAGATGAAATTAATATGTCATACAGCCTAAAATTAAATTGTTTATCCATTCAATTTACAGATGATATGTTTATTTTCATGGGTACCAATTTTCAATGATCGAGGAAAACATAAATTTCCGTGGATATTGGATTTCGTGGATTTGCCAAAGTCTGCATATAAGACTACATAAAATTTATACTTTGTTGAACATTCAAATTCCTGGTTTTTTGACACTCACGAAATCCACACAAATTGGCATACCACGAAATTCAATAAAAATGAAATCACAGTATATAATGACATCTCATAAGAACACACACTCTACTTACAATCTTTCTCTTCTTTTTCTGTGATTATAGTAACTCCTGGTTGTCGTGTGGTAGAAAACCTATAGACTGTAGCAGGTGAAGCTGTAACTCTTGTTGTCGCTTTCTGTGTCGATTGTGTTTTAGTTGTTGCCTTAGTAGTCGTTGCCTTGGTAGTTGTAGCTTTTGTCGTTGTTGGCGCTGCTGTTGTTGGATTGCAACTTGCACAACAAGATGTTTGTATCTGTGTTTGAGCACAATTATTCGGTCCTTTTACATACATAACTTGGCATGTCCAACCATTACTAAAGATTGCACCAACCTGGTCACCATACAAGCATGTGTCTGTTGTAAACAAAACACTGATGTGAGGAATTTGACGTTATGATTTACTAAAATGTTACACATCAATAATAATTTTCATTCGATTTGAACATTTTAACTTTACCTTTATTTTTGTATCTCATCGGACTTTTTCTAATGCTTTTCTCTAATAACCCCTCATTTTTTTAATTTTCTATGCATATATCTCAAAATCTCTTTTGACAAAACAGTTTAAACTTATATTTATTTTTGTAATTTTTACTACAGGTTTAATGCAGTTTATTTTTACATTTTTTCCAATGCTTTTAACCAGCAGACATTTCTTTAAACGCCTAGGTCATTTTAACTGAATACTTGTTCTTCAAACGATAATGTACAAAGCTTCGAGCGAGGGAAATTAGTATCTTTTAATTGTCTTTTTGAAAAGAATATTGTAGGAAGTATTTGTGGTAATTGAGATTTGGTGAGCAGACCACGTATTTTAAATTTTGTTCAACAAAACTTATGTTTTCAAGAGCGAGAGATAAGTTTTCAGCATTAAAGTTTTGGAGCGATCGAATCATCGAATCAGGAGAACTATAAACCAATTTAGAGTACTATAAACTCATCATAGATACCAGGATTGAAATTTTGTATTTGCGCCAGACGCGCGTTTCGTCTACAAAAGACTCATCATTAACGCTCGAATCAAAAAAAGTTAAAATGGTCAAATAAAGTACGAAGTTGAAGAGCATTGAGGACCAAAAATTCCTAAACGTTTTGCCAAATACAGCAAAGGTAATCTATTCCTGAGGTAGGAAAGCCTTAGTATTTCAAAAATGTAAAGGTTTGTAAACAAGTTCCAAGCTCATAAGTCAAAGATAAAATGAAACAGATACCGAAGCAACATTTAAAACTCATAAGTCAAAGATAAAATGATACGCCCTGGCAAAAAACGATGACGAGGAAAAGGCAAGTCAAGAAAACATTACATTCATAGCTACAGACTGAACAACAAGAATACAACCAACAACTTAATGTGATCTTAGGTGATCCGGAAGGGTAAGGAAATTTTGCTTCACTTGTGGCACCCATCAGTATATTGAATGAAACAACCGAAAAAATTACATGCTAAATTTTATCTGTAATTCCTATGTTCACATAGAAGTAGATTGACAATTCAACAATCACTGTTCGATGATCTCAGATGATCCGGAAGGGTAAGGAGAATATTCTTCAGTTGTGACACCTGTCAATATATATTGGATGAAACAACAAAAAACATTACATTATAAATTGTATCTGTAATCCCTATGTCTACATTAAAGTAGATTGTCAATTCACCAATCACGGTTTGTTACAATAAGGCATACAGAGCGCTCATCTGAATGATCAATAATTAGATACATGAGAAAACAATACATACCACTTCCACTAGGAGCATTTGCTGATGCTGTACAAACTCCTGTTTTACACCACTACAAACAGTAACCAAATAAGTATACAATAAAAATAATGATAAGGCGTCCTTAGTATTTTTAACAGTTGGACGCATAAAATTAATAACCTGTTCTTTTCATTTTGTACGGTTTTACATGATCATAATTGAATATCTGATTATTGCATACACATACATATTTAGCAATATATTTTTATTTCTTTCAAGAAAGAACATTCGTAAGATGTGAGAACTTGTGTATGATTCCTTTTTTAAAATTTAGCATTCGACATGTTTGATCAAAAAAATTACTAGTTCTCCTTTTTATTCATGTATGGTACATTTAAGGGGATAGTGTTGTTATTCAATTCATGATATTGATTAACATCTATCCAACGTCTACCTGGAAATTTGTAATTCTTTACGTGTCGAAAACATTAATATTTAAATGAGATATGAATACATCCTGTTTTGTGCTGGGCCGACAAACTGATTTAGATGTTTCACGACCTTCGTGTACCCCGCATGATTTCAGTCCATAGGGAGATATGTCACCATAACCGTTAGTCTAACTTCAAGCTAAACACTATTTGTTATTACTGCTAAATGCCGCATCTTTAGTGGGAAAGCAGCAAAAGTCAATTCAAAGCCTTCGGTTGACACGGACTTGGACTAAACCTTTGAGCCCTTGCACTCGAACTGAACATTCTAACAAGAGATAACCGAGTTTATTTTTAGATTCAATGACCGACTTGTCTTCCTACGGAATCTTTTTAGGACACAAGCAAGCTACGTGACTTTGCTGGTTTATCTTTCCTTATATGTTACATATTGTTTATACTTTTATTTTTTAATCAAATATATATACATATAAATAGTCCTGTTTTCATAAACCTATATTCAATACTAATCAAAATTGTATTACAGTGATTATTCGATGATTTTGTCAAAGAGGCTCACAATAAATACTCTAGACTATTTGTGTCTGTAAGGCTCTTTTTTTTATGAACATATTCAGTAAGGGTTTTTTTTCAAGGCTAATGTAACATTGTTCTTATATTAGAATATATATTCAAGGCAAAAAAGCAAATACTAATGGAAAATATACCATTTACGTCGCATGAGATTTACAAAATGTACTTAGGATGCAAATTCAAAGGTCTGATAAAATAACATATACATGTACTATATATACAGCATATGATAGATTGTTCGGTTTGAATTAATTTGGTTATGCTACATACGCAGAAAGCATCCCCAGTGGAACTGCTATATTAGTAGAACAGTCCCTCCCTCTGTTTAGGTATACCACTAATTCAGGCCCGGTCGGAAAGAACATACAAGAAAGTACATAGTTTAAACAAAATAGTTCTTACGCATAGCTGTATCTTTGTCAATAGTGGGAATATTTGGGTAGTTTTAGTATCAAATGAAAGCTTGGGGACTTGGAATCACTGTAGAACCCTTGTTGAACGTTTTATTTGAATAATAAAGAAGTATATGCAATTTTAATAGGAGGGCTCATTTGGCCTGTTGTTCAGATCAGAAGTTCCTGTTTTTGTACTATCAAACTTCCAGGAACCAGTACGCTCTAATATGCAATTAAAGGTATGTTGATTTTTTCAGCACGTCAGCATAAGGTACAGTTTTGACATGAAATAACTGCCACTTTATTTGAACTTAAGACAAAGTAGCCATTTATGCTTGAAATTGCAGAATTAAACATAGAAAGCAATGGGGCTATGAATTAGTGGTTTTATACCTTTACCTACTCTTTTTCGTATTTTCCGTTACCTTGATTTGTCTCTTCCACATCGATTTACGAAATTGAACATCGGTAACTTACTGTCGCCTTTATTTAGCCTACCTTTTTGTTTCCACACAATGTTCCGTCTCCAGCAACATAACTTTGACATTGTGACGGATTATTGAGCGTAGAGCACCATAAGACTGAACATATAGAAGAATAATCACCAGAGTATTGTTGCTGTGGAAGAAATAAAATGTTTCAGCAGCATGTAATTTAGTATCAACACACTATGACGATAGATTTAATATTAATAAAACTTTTAAATTATGAAACTTGAATTGGAATTGCTTATTTGAGGTTTAACCCCTATGGTAAGAACAGCTGTCATGGATATCAATATAATGTTAGAGACAGTAGTGGTTAGTTTTTTTTCTGTTTATTATATCTGTTATGTTTGTTTATATTGAGGATCCAAAATTCCAAAACGTTTTGCCAGATACAGCTGAGTAATCTATTCATGCGGTAGAAAGTCCTAAATATTTCGAACAATTCAAAGTTTTGTTGACAATAAATTTGTAAATATGACCATATCAATAATAAATCATGTCATCAAAAAGCGCTGACTACTAGGCTGCTAATGTTTTCGTGCAGGAACATTTTCACCAGCAGTGGCATCGACCCGTATCATGATCACTCCTTTATATGTATCATGCCAAAATATTAAAGACGGATGTCACATAAGACGTATGAACTGCTTACCCCTCCTAAAGAAATGAATGCAGTCTTTTTATTGAGATTTTGTTTCTCATTCCTTACGTCTGTGTATGTTTTTGTAACTAATCATTTGTCTACATTTCAGATCTTCATGGTAATGCATGTCTTTCTTTAAGTTATATTTTTAATTGTATATTTGATATCTTCATCTTTGTTTTAAAGTGATGGTAATATTATATATCATCTCACCTTTCCTTTTTTTCAAAACATCTATTAGAACATTTTTTTAATAACTGTTGATATGTTATTGTTCTAGTTTTAAATTTTTGCTTGACTTTAGTTTGGAATGTTTTTCCTAAACTTTGATTAAACAAATCGTTTTGTTTGACTGTGTTTAATATTTTCATTATAATAAATTTTATATGATTTGTGGGGAGATTACAACTAACTGACTAGTCGATAGGATAAACAACCTACCCTGCACATTACAGATCCTGGTCCCACCATATGTTAAGTTAGGACTAACAACCTACCCTGTACATTACAGATCCTGGTCCCACCATATGTTAAGTTAGGACTAACAACCTACCCTGTACATTACAGATCCTGGTACCACCATATGTTAAGTTAGGACTAACAACCTACCCTGTACATTACAGATCCTGGTCCCACCATATGTTAAGTTAGGACTAACAACCTACCCTGCACATTACAGATCCTGGTCCCACCATATGTTAAGTTAGGACTAACAACCTACCCTGCACATTACAGATCCTGGTCCCACCATATGTTAAGTTAGGACAAACAATCTACCCTTTACATTACAGATCCTGGTCCCACCATATGTTAAGTTAGGACAAACAATCTACCCTGTACATTACAGATCCTGGTCCCACAATATGTTAAGTTAGGACTAACAACCTACCCTGCACATTACAGATCCTGGTCCCACCATATGTTAAGTAAAGTTAGGACTAACAACCTACCCTGCACATTAAAGATCCTGGTCCCACCATATGTTAAGTTAGGTCAAACAACCTTCCCTGCACATTACAGATCCTTGTCCCACCATATGTTAAGTTAGGACAAACAATCTACCCTGTACATTACAGATCCTGGTCCCACCATATGTTAAGTAAAGTTAGGACTAACAACCTACCCTGCACATTACAGATCCTGGTCCCACCATATGTTAAGTAAAGTTAGGACTAACAACCTACCCTGCACATTACAGATCCTGGTCCCACCATATGTTAAGTTAGGTCAAACAACTTACCCTGCACATTACAGATCCTGGTCCCACCATATGTAAAGTTAGGACTAACAACCTACCCTGCAAATTACAGATCCTGGTCCCACCATATGTAAAGTTAGGACTAACAACCTACCCTGCACATTACAGATCCTGGTCCAACCATATGTTCACACTGTTTATCAGCATCATATTTCTGACCAGGTAAAAAGTTTCTTTCAGGGTATAATGCATTAAAGTTATAATCAGGATGTAAAGTGGTCATACACTGTAGATTATTCCTAAAATGGAAGGGAATGAATTACATAAATACATGTAGAAGTAAAAAAAACCTTGAAACATACAACTATCTACAACATTATTGATTGGAGTTACATTATTTACATTATTTACATTAGTTACAATAGTTACATTATTTACATTAGTTACATTATTTACATTATTAACATTAGTTACATTATTTACATTATTAACATTAGTTACATGATTTATATTAGTTAAATTATTTTCATTAGTTACATTAGTTACAATAGTTACATTATTTACATTAGTTACATTATTTACATTATTAACATTAGTTACATTATTTACATTATTAACATTAGTTACATGATTTATATTAGTTAAATTATTTTCATTAGTTACATTAGTTACAATAGTTACATTATTTACAATAGTTACATTATTTACATTAGTTACATTATTTAAATTAGTTACATTAGTTACATTAGTTACATTATTTACATTATTTACATCAGTTATATTATATACATAAGTTACATTATTTTCTAGTCAGTGGGATTTACCATTAACCCGGTTGTTTTCTGTCACCTTTTCAGTTTTATGAACAGAAGTAAACAGTTATGTTTGACACTAAACACAAGTAGAGTGATCTCTTGAATACCTTCTTTGCTTAACTCACTTGTTTACAGTATTTTGTTTTCATCTGATCCGAACGAATCATGTCCACAATGTTTAGTTTACATTTGTTAAGCCTTATTACAGGCTTTATGTGCCTAAACCCTTTGCAATTATGTTATTTCAATTTTGATACTTTTTGGAATTGATACAACAGTCTTCTAATGAGACTACAATCCTCCATTTAGATTTTTTTATCCATAAAAATACATCTGAAGCAATTAACGTGAAAATTAATTATTCTGCTTAACTGTTTAACATACATTTTCATTAATAACGCTAACTTATATACCATGACACATGTATGTCAGTACGTGTTTTATGCGAGATCCTACCATGGGTATGCACTATTTTTGTATAAACTTTACGCCGTGTGGAGTGTAGCGATAAGATAAACATGTGGATACCTAATAAATTATACAAATTTAAAATAAAATGTGGGAGTTTTATAAAAAAAAAAAAGACGTGTGCTGCTTGTCGTCTCCTCTATAATATAAACAGACGGGGGTTATATACCTATATTATATACTTTATACATGTTATATTTATACGGTAAAGAAAGAAAAACATACGCAAAATGTAAGTTTTCTGTCTGGTAAGTCATACAGCAGTAAGACGGGCAAAAATTTACTAATCATAGTGTAACATAAAGAGAATGCCAGGTCGTAAAGATATCGCTGTAGATTGTGGCTTACAGTCTAGTTATAACTGGAATAGTTCGAGCTGTAGTTGAAGTTCGACTTTGTGTGAATGTTCGAACTCCAAATCGATAGCGGAAAACACTGATGACTATCTTACTAGCAAGGAGTTTTATTTTTTTCTCTAAGAGGAAACTCATTTGATTTTCTGGGGGTATGGGAGGAGGATTTTGAAAATGAATAACCTGGCTAGGTAGCAGCTGAAAATAAATAATCTTGCAGAAGACAAGATGGAAATGAATATTCTGCATCACACAATGCAGGAAACAATTGTTCACAAAAGTGAAGAAAATAAGCATGTGAAGCAACAGATAAAAATTAATGTTCAATCCGCAAAACATACTCCTGCCCCTCCCCCAGCTTAAAAATAGACAATCATTGATTCATCAATTACTGTGGATTCATTATTATTCGTGTGATACCAATTTTCGTGGGTTTCGTGGATACAGGTGAACCATCAATTCAAATGTTCAACGAATGACAAACTGTCTATATGCTTTGTATGCAGAGAATGGCAAAACCACAATATCAAATATCCACGAAAATGCAAGTTTTCCTCAATCCACATAAATTAATGAATCCACAGTATTGTATATCACCGAATCAGTGCATAAAACGGTGTCATCTGATTCTCAACAAGAGCCTCTTACATGTACATTTTATATGTAAGCACGAGTAGTTTTTTTTTTAATCAAACAAACGGTGTCTTACTAATATAGATATTTAAGAAAATATGATTACTTATAGATATGAAAAGCAATTAAAATCAAATAGTATAAAACTCTTTAACATAAAACAAAGTCAAATTATATGCAAAAAAATAAAAACTCTTTAAGTTAGATTCACTGTTTACCGCCAACTTGTATTGTACAATAGCAGTACACTATCAGTCTACTTTTTTTGCCTTCATCTTCCAATTTTTAGACAGATTTGCAATTTATGTGTAAGACTGTTTATTTGTATAAAGAAAGTAAGTGATTTATTGCATTATTCAAAAGATTTAAACAAATAACAAATATTTCTGTTTTTAGAATCAATTTTTCAACTTAGCCATTTAAGGGGAGTTAACTCTTATAGTAAAAATTTTATACTGGAATGATAGTGAAATTTTTATATTTTACTTTTGTAGCAAGGAAACAAGTTCAGTGATCCCATTTTCTCTTTTCATTTTCTTAAAGCATATTATAAAACCTATCTTCTCATATTTTATTTCAAAATTCTTTCGCATTGATTTCTTTTTATTCACAAAAATGTGTTTTTTCATGAACAATCTATGCAAATTTGGGCAACTTTGTACGACTTGTAGCTTGAAAAATAACACTTTTTATTATATTTTTGAAAAAAAGCATAGAAAAATCATTATTTTGGCAAAGTATAAGAAATTTCTATCTGAGGAAATATATACCGATGATCCACCTTAATATAAAACAAAGTCAAACTATATATATAAAAAACTCACGTGGAAACAAACAAATGTATGTGTTAAAAAATATGACGTAGGACACAAAAGTAACTCACGTAGTAAGATAATCAATGTATGTATTGAAATATGATGTAGAACATGTCGAAAATTTCCAGGGATTGCTTGCTGTAAGTGAATTGGATTGAGGTGTGCTGGTTGCAGTCATAATGAACGAATCAGTTGCTCTACAAAAATTGTTAGTCCCGTCGTGTTGTGCGCTCAAACTGTAAAAGAACGTACATAAATCTAAATTAACTTTATAATAAATTGCAAAAGTACGATTACAAACAAGGGAAATTGGTAGAAACAAAACAATAATTAGCGATATACACCTAATCGATATATATCCACCATTACTGAACATCAAAGAAGTACCCGTATAATTTCTGACTCACAAAGATAAAAAGATTGTTGTGTTACGTCAATAGTGTAGCAAATTCCCGGGTCAAGTGTCGTAGATTCTCCAATAGCGAAAAGGTTTGTTATACCGCATCACAGAATGATTGAAGTTACCGAATTCAAACTCAAATTATTAAAACCCTGCAAGGCATAGAATTTGGTCGATAATGAGGGACGTAAAGGGGGGTATCTGCACGGAAGAACGCGAAATAAAATTGCCATTTCACGATGAACGAACAATCAAAAATTTCTTGCACGTTGATCATTTTATCGATTTCACGAAACACGGTGAATAACGAACCTTTTTCACGGCTGCACGTGAAATAAAAATGGCAAAACACGTTGCACGAAAATAACCCTTTACCACCCTCGATAATTATTATACATTGTATATAATATTTCATTGCTTCATGTATGAATAATGTGTATACTTAATGTCGATTGATTCGGTGCGTACCGATTTATTCTGTTATTGTGTTGATTATTCACAAAACGAAAACAGTAACGGAACAAGATGATTAGTCCTGTAGCACATAGATTATTACTTAACTGTATAAATTGTACACCTTTTGTAAATAAGAAACACTGATTATTCAAATTCAGATTAAATTGAATGCTTAAAAGACATTGATAAAACTGACAAAACCCCCATAGTCAAAACTGAGAAAACTCCCGTGTTGAAGGCCTCACTGTGACATTGAGATGGAGAACAGCAATAAAAGCGCTGTTCCTGTGCTTATTGTGATTTATGCTGTGCACAGGCTGCTTTTGTGTCATGGAGGGATACTCCAAATCCTTTCTTTTCTATTATAAACTCATGAATGCATGAATTTATTGAGTAGGTTCTTTTTCCTTAACCAATGTGTGGATAGGAACGTCCATCTCGTGTGTTTTTCACAGTTATGTTAGTCCTCGAGAGTACCCTTAACCCAGTATGTTGGTTGCTGACTTAATTTAAATAATTCATTTTGTCTGTATTTCCCGTTTATAAATTTATGTAATCGTTCTTAAACTATGGTTACAACTCCCACAGGCAAAGTGGACCTCAGATGGTTTTTGCTTTTCTGTTTCGATCCGTTTGTTTTGTTATGCTCTCACACGTTTTTATATTTTTCCATATCTAAACGTTTGACCTCGGACATACCTCATAATACAGACACACGTTTTGGGTGCAAGGAAATCATATCATAAGATTTGCCATTGAAGTATCGTGCATAATGTTCCATTTAATGATAAACTGAGTGAAACAAGTTTAACTATGAGCCATGGTATGATACCCCGGCATTAAGAATTCGGTAAACAACTAGGAAGCGGAATAGCAATAGATATGATAATGCATTAAACGATATAGCATTTTCACACAAAGCTTGCTACCAAATTTGAACAAGATTTATTTCTTATTTCGTGAGAAAAGTGCGACCGAAAATTTATGAGACGAACTGACGGACAGACGTAAAATATATATAGTATACCCCTGCCTTTGTCAATCGACCTTGTTTGTCATGCAATGTTGTTTTCATAATTATCTTATGTTCTTCTTATACGGTTATCTCTCTTGTCATCCTGCCACCGATTTCATATTGCAACCCTTGTTGCCTAGCCTCGATTTTTATTTGTCTCTAAAATGAAACCAATAAGACAACAAATACCTGCAGTTCCTCAACCGCTCCCCCTCCCCCTCCCCAGAATTAGGATTGGTTTATTATGATAATTTACTTGTGGATATTAATAGTTTACCTGTGTCCAAGCTCGTGTGACGCCACAGTTAGTATAACAAAGTTGAATTTGTCTTCTACAATTGATTGACTGTTTGCTGTGCATAGGGCACCAGTGGTGGCAAAACCTAAAGTTGCAATTTTTGAAAATAATTTACATCATAGAACACATATATACACAGCGTTATGTTCGTCCACGTGTAGTTTACACTTTAAAATATAGAAGATGTAAATATACATTGTTACTCAAACGATTTGACTTAGGTTAAGATGGACATCTAGTAAAGAATTGTTTAATGTTGAGTAAGAAATTAGTTCTTAAACATTATGACTCAAATATTTTCTTTATTTTTCTTCTCTGTATTAAATTTTATGACACAGACTTATTTTGAGCTATCCTCAACATGCTCACATTTTTCTGCACATATCATGACGAGGCTGTTCGAGATCTACTTGGAAGTCAAGCAGCCGATAGTGCACTAAAAATAGGCAGGATTTCAATATCAGCAGATCTACTTGGAAGTCAAGCAGTCGATAGTGCACTAAAAGGTGGCAGGATTCAATATCAGCAAATTCAGTATTGTGCAATTCTATCATTTTATCAAAAAGTATTTTTGTTATATACATTGTGAGAAAATAAGAATGACAAATTACTAGCTTCTAAAATTATAATACCCGTATGTCATGTTATTTTTGCGTCGGGTTCTGTAGAAGGGACTTTACCGCATTGTTTGTTTCACGGACTATGTTTTCTTAAGATAGACGATGAAATATTACTTTGGTTACTTTTGCGTAGTAAAAAATGTCTTCCGAGAACATAGCGAAATTTAGGCACTCACGAAAATTTACCGATATACGGCTGGAAATAAAAAAATCTTGCAGCATTGTCATTGTACGAAAGTCAAGGTCATCTGTCATGAACGGGCCATCCTTGATAGAATTTGGGTAGAATATATTAACAATGTCATTTGATGAAGCACTTGAATTATAAAATAAATAAACTTTTTAAATTGTCGTGAATGCAAAATGGACATACTAATCTACAACCAAGAGTTCACTCGTCTAAAGTCTCGTATTGATAAGATAGTTACAGGATTGTTTGATTTGTTTCTACTTACCAGCTATAGATGCTGATCCATCCTTAATCATCTCATACCTATAATAATTAGACAAAATAGAATAATATAGTAATTAAATTCAGAATGGAAATGGGAAATGTGTCAAAGAAACAAAAGCCCGACCAAAGAGCATAAAACATCCCAAGACCACCAATGGGTCTTCAACACAGCGAGAAAATCCCGCACCCAGATGCGGGCTTCAGCTGGCACATTAAAAAATGTGTACTAGTTCAGTGAAAATGGACGTCACACTAAACTCCAAAACATATAAATGAACTAAAATTAAAAAAACTTACAAGACTAATAAAGGTCAGAGGCTCCTGACTTGGGACAGACGCAAAAATGCGGCGGGGTTAAACATGTTTTGTGAGATCTCAACCCTCCACCTATACCAATGTACAATAAACAAACACACAGCAATACGCACAGTAAATCTCTGTTTAAAAGAAGTCCGAGTCCGATGTCAGAATAGGTTACAGAAGAAACTAAGCACAATTATACACATACTAATACACAAACACGCGCACACTTGTTAATTGAGCTAATCATTATCCAATCAGATCAAAGATACGAGATGGTTGACAGAAGTGGGCAGTAATTGACAAATTAACAAACGCGGAAATGTGAAACCATGAAAACGCGAAAACACGAAAACATGATGGCGAAAGGGAAAAATTGCGTAAACTCGAAGTCGAAAACGCAAAAACTTAAAGTGAAACCATTTCGCGTTTTCGCGTTTTCGCGTTTTCGACTTCACGTTTTCGCCCAATAAGATATGAGATGCGAAAAGGCGAAAACTTGAAAAAGCAAAATGGCCTTATCCGGTCACCATATATGTCTGTTATATGACAAACACTTTTCTCAACGTATACCCAAAACAAACTGGGTTTTTTTTTCAATAGCATACAGGAACAAGAAAATTGTTTTCAAAAATCGTAGCTGTTGTTAACTTTTAACATTTCTCATTTATTCACTTCCATTCTGAAAGATTTTTTAAAAGAAATTTAGAATCAAACAATGTATTCAAACAAGAGTGCACACGCTGAAATGTCTCGCCTGTTTTACTGACCATTGATTTTATGTTGAAAGTCTTAAAGATAAAGATTTTATTATTATAAGTATCTCATAAACTTAACATTTTTAAAGATCCGTGACAATGAGGTCAAGGTCAGATAATAACTGTCACAAAGACATGTACACCTTACAATTATGCCATACACCAAATATAGTTGACCCATTGCTTATGGTGATTGAAATACAGACCAAAACACGAAAACTTAATGTTAACCAATGAACCATGAATATGAGGTCAAGATCAGATGATACTGGCTAGACAGACATGTTCAAATTACAATCATTCCATACACCAATTATAGTTGACCTATTGCTATTAGTATTTGAAAAACAGACTAAAGCACAAAAACTTAAAATTGACCAAGGAACGATGAAAATGAGGTCAAGGTCAGATGACACCGGTTAAACAGACATGTACACCTTACAATCATTCCATACACCAAATATAGTTAACCTATTGCTTACAGTGCTTGAAAAAAAAACAGACCAAAACTCAAAAAAATAACAATGACAAATGAAGCATGAAAATGAGGTCAAGGTCAGATGAAACCTGCCAGTTTGACATATTCCACTCACATCATTCCGTACGCCACATATAGTTGACCTGCTGCTTGTAGTATCTGAGAAATGGAGCTTATCACGTAACTTGATCACTGAACCATGAATTGAGGTCAAGGTCAGGCTAACCCTGTATGATGGACATGTAGACGCAGGGAACCCATATACCAAATATAGTTATCCTATTACTCATAATAAGTGAGAAATTCACATAACAAAAAAACTGTAATTCTTTTTCAAGCAGACGCTGAACCATGAAAATGAGGTCAAGGACTATGGGCATATAACAGACGGAAACTTCGTAACATAAGGTATCTGCATACAAGGTATGAAGCATCCAGGTCTTCTATACCTTCTAAATTATAAAGCTTTATTCAAATAGTTTACGCTGTCGCCGCCGCCGGATAGTAATATCTATGTCTCGCATACCGCGACGAAAGTCGTAGGTGAGACAAAAACAAGACCATGCCCCAGAACAAGTATAAATTGTCGGTGCCTAACATTGAATATGCAGGTTGCTCTCACCACTGTAATAAACTACGCATCCATATCAAGGAGTTCCGAACAGAACTTCATTGGTCATATACTAAGCATGCTTTACCTGACAGTGCTGCAAAATATTAGACATACCCAGTAAATAACATAGCATGATCATGCCTTGGTATACTATTCTGTGACAGCTGACTGTATTACAAATAAAAGACTTACCCATTAAATAACATAGCATGATCATGCCTTGGTATACTATTCTGTGACAGATGACTGTGTTACAAATAAAAGACTTACCCAGTAAACAATATAGCATGATCATGCCTTGGTATACTATTCTGTGACAGCTGACTGTGTTACAAATAAAAGACTTACCCAGTAAATAACATAGCATGATCATGCCTTGGTTTACTATTCTGTGACAGCTGACTGTATTACAAATAAAAGACTTACCCAGTAAATAACATAGCATGATCATGCCCTGGTATACTACTTTGTGACTTGACCCAGGAACTAAAACTATTCAACATAGCAGATGCAGGTACTTGGTTAGGAGTGACACTCGTTATTTTAATTGTCTCTGTCCATGGTGCGTCAGATGCTGTCTTAGAAAACAAAGGAATATGAAATAAAATAAATAAATGATAATTAAAAAGTAAGCAAGGTGAACAATGTCATTCCATTAAATAGTGGTAAAAAAATCCGTTCTCTTGTGCTCTTCTTGGTGTGGTCAGTAAGTGATGAATAGCAGATTTACCAAAAAATGTTTTATCTGAGATTTACAACGATTCAACATCTCCCATATTAGGCTGATTCAATATATTGTGACTCAATTTTAACAACGGTAGTGTATCAAAGTAATGATTTAAGGGGGAAGGAGCTGAAAGGAAGCAATAATTGGTGTCATTTCCTATAAAATGTCTTCTAGTTTGTTTTTATTTTGAAATGTATTAATCGCAATTGTATGCGTAACTATAATTGTAATGAATAGACCAAATCCTAGAAAAAATGTTCTATCATGTTGCATAAATAAATTAACATAGCATAATTATCAATATTACAAGTCATGTGCATTTGATGTTTTGAGAAAACACCAATAAGACAGCGACCAAAAAAGTATTAAACAGAACGTGGTAATTATTGTACTACAAATTATTGGTTGTTACAATGTGAGATAACGTAGTTGGAAAATACATACTAGTAAGAAAGGACAAAAAAAGCATGGGTATTGAAGACATGTTACATTTACTCATGCGTTTGAAGTCCGTATATGCTGGTCCTGGACTTTATATTAAATACTTTTTTGTGTCGTTGGGTGACTGTACCGTTGACGTACAAATTGTATGTCAAAAAACTTCTTTATTTATAAACATTACTTTGATAAAATGTATATGAAGGTGTAAATTTAGTAAATAGATATACGTCATCAAGGACCTCTCATTTGGGGGAGAGCTTTCTGGATAACAATTAAGTCCTGTGCTCCACTGATTGGTAGATACTTTTTGTAATAAATAATTTTGATAGGATGGATTAAAACTATGGCCCTATGTTTTTATTGTTGCAAAATATGGGGCTACATTTGTACTTTAATGAATGATATATGAAAGCTTCTGATTTCTTAAGGTAAACCAGGTATACATTTAATTCTAGAAATAGATTTGCACTGAAGTCAATCGGAGATCTTTTATTACTAGTACTGAATTTACCCCTGAAAACGTACACAAACGCATGTTTGACATTTTACGAAATTGAGTCGTCTCCCTTCTACCAAACTTGTGTTATATTTGTAAAGATCTGCAATTAACATATGTATAAAAATGTCATCTAATCTTACATATTTGTTTTGGAGTGATTTCAGTCTTTATTTGGAGAAGGTTCACGAAGGGCTTATATTGTCCCTAAGATTTTAATGTTTTTTAATCAGGCCAAAATACTGCAAATTTCACATTAAAATAGTTGTGATATTACTATTAACACAAAATAACTTATTTTTGGCACATCACATTATAAATTACCAAGTTATGACCCCTTAATTATGCATTATTTGTGTTGTAACGTCAGTTTTGGTTCAATATTTCCTTGATTTATAACAGTTTTTCCACAATTTAATTGATCCAGAAAATGTTTGTGTCTATGGATTCAATATTAACCTTGGCACCTTTTGGTGTCATAATATTTTGGATCGTAGGTTGAGACAAAATTTTTCTTAAAGCTTTTAGTTCCAAAAAATGCACAAAATTGTATTTTGACAATATCTCCAAAATGTGCTGACTTTGGAGCCTATGGTGTACTATTATGAAGAGATTGTTTTACCTAGCATGTAGGCTTTTGAAATAGATCCATTTATGAACCAACTTGTGGCCTGTATAATATTTTATGATTCAAGGCCATATTTTGCCATTAGTGAACACTCTCCTTTGATGCTTTATAATTAAATAACAATTAATATTTAGGGATGTGAACAAATAATATTTATTTGATATGCTAGATGATCGATTAGTTAAAATAGTTCTACATGATAATATATTTACCTTTGCTATTATTATTCCGGAAAACAGAATATTAATGGTAAAACTGGACGTTTGTAGATTCTTATACATGGCATCCATCTGAAATAATTTACAAGACGATTGGCAATTTAGTCTTAGATGCATGATTTTATCTATTAGTTGTCAATGGCTTTGAACTAGCTTCAGTAACTGCGAGTACTCTTAGATCTGTACTTAGTGTCTTTTTGTTGTGGGGATGTATAAGTAACCTGCCATGTCCACTCTGTGTTTTTGTTACTTGCTTTTTGTGCTTTGTATCGATCTGATGACTTAAGCTCTTTTCAACTCATTTTTATTGTTTGTTCATATGTTGTACTGTTACACCACTATCCCATGTTAGGGGAGGGTTGGGCGCCCGCTAATATGTCTAATACCGCCACATTCTTTATGTGCCTGTCCCAAGTCAAGAGCCTCTAATTCAGTGGTTGTTGTTTGTTGCTGTATATCATATTTGTTTTTCGTTCATTATTGTGTACATATATCAGGCCGTTAGTTTTCTGGTTTAAATTGTTTCACATCTGTCATTTCGGGGCCTTTTATAGCTGACTATGCGGTGTGGGTTTTACTCATTGTTGAAGGCCGGACGGTGACCTATAGTTGTTAAATTCTGCGTCATTTTGGTTTCTTGTGGAGAGTTGTCTCATTGACAGTCATACCATATCTAAATAATACAAGGTAGATACAAAATTTGGAAATATTCAAATATTAAAAAAGTAGTCACATGACTTATTACAGAACGTCATTAATTGAAAGATATTACGATGAAGAAAATTAAAGTATACTTGCCCCGTTAATAACAAATGCATAGTATTGTCTGATAGAAGCAACAGCATTCTGGTCTCTCTCGTTGACAGTTGAACCAGTACTTTTGCCATACCATCTAATTAAAGGAGTATAAAAATAAGAAAATGTGGTATGATTGCCAATGAGACAACTCTCCATAAGAGACCAAATGACACAGAAATTAACAAATTAGGTCACCGTACGGCCTTCAACAATGAGTAAAAATAATGAACAAAAAACAAATATGATAAACAGCAACAAACGACAACCACTGAATTACAGGCTCCTGACTTGGGACAGGCACTTACAGAATGTGGTGGGGTTAAACTAGTTTGAAGGCTAATAAAAGAAGTGCACATATCAGAAAATATCAACATTTGCTTTAAAAAAATGCTTGCGCTAGGATGAAAAGGGATGATTCAAATATTCGATTGTTCAACATAATAATATATTAATGTTTTTCATTAAAAAAAGAATGCACTCGTCGGAAGCAAAACAATTAAGGATGCTTCAAATGTCTTTCAAAGTTGAGCCAGTTCTTTTGCCATACCATCTAATAAAAAGGTTTACACATTAGAAAATATGAGCATTTTCTTTTAAAAAAAACATGTTTGTACGAGGACGGAAAAAAAGATGCTTCAAATATTCGATAGTCCAATCTTTAAATATTTAAACGTTTCTCTTTAAAAAAATACGAACTGGTTGTATATGAGATTTGGCAATACTCAGAAATGATGAAAAAGAAAAAAAACATCGACTCTTCTATTGCCATTACGATATAGTTGTTCGTCGGGTCGGTCATATAATTAATGAGAGGGGTCTTGGTTGTCAAGTGGTCTAAGTAGTTCATCTTCAGTTTTTACTAGCATTTGAGGCAACGCTGAGGTTGCGAGTTCGAAACCCGCTCGTGGCAAGTGTATTCGACTCCAATTTTAATTGACAATGATTGCCAGTTTTCCTGTCGAAGATCGGAAATTCTCTCCGAGTATTCCGGTTTCCTCCACCATGCAATATATATTGGCCGCCACAATAGCGCAAATAGTGCTGAATGTGGCGTTAAACACCAGCAGTCAATCAATCATGAACCATATATTTGTGTTTTTCAAAGTCGCTGGAACGTTTGCATATTTTATTCACATATGTATATTTGAATGACCAAAAGCATATCTAAATAACAAACATAAAACACATACAAAGTGCAAATTCAAAGTCTGATTGACATGCAGAAGGAAACCAATCAAAACATGTTGGTGTCAAATCATATTATTCACGTTTTGTGAAAGTGGGGTTTCGGATTTAAACACATTTTCGTTTATCAAAGTTTGTAAAGAGTTGCTTTCGGCAATTAACACTATCTGTCAAATTATCAACATTTTTTGTTGCGCAATATTTGATCATAAAGACAGATATAAATCTTTAACAATAAATGTAAATGAAAGGATTATTGTAAGGCGTAACATACATGTAACTTTTGAATGATTTAGATCGATAAAGACTCGGAGTGATAGTAAAATTCGTAAAATATGCTGGAAAATAGAAAACTCAACAGAAGAAGCTATTCAAAGAACAACTGTTACTGGTTATACAATTATAAATCTTGAAATGACTGGAAGGTCATCATAGATGAAAAAAAAAAAAAAAATCTTGTATCAGTTGTTATCTATTTAATTACAAGCAAATCAATTACATTACTCAGGTATTGGGGAATTACTTTTTTGTTACCGAACTGTGTAAATGGGATAGGAATGTGGCTTTAAGTAAGGAGTTCTATTTGTAACTGCTTAAAAAAAACTGAAAATAATGTATGGTTTAAATATACGAATGTTCTGATTACAAAAAATATTAAATAGAAAGGCATTGTAAAATTTAAAATGTATATTGCATATTCTATGGACACGAATTACTTTCAAATATCGGCTAGTTGATAAACAGTTTTTTTCACTTCCCATGAGTGCCATATTCTGACAACAAAGATATTAAGGTGTTTGGTATTCTATTTTTTCGGCCAATAACATGTCTTTCTATAATGGAAAAGTATATTTAACAGAGTAACTCCCAAAGACCTAAGCTTCTGTCCTTCGGTTTGAATAAGGAAACGACTATTTAACATTAAGGTGGGCGAGGGATGAGGGATGTGCCTATTATCTTTAAAAAAAAATCAGATACCCACCCACCCCCCTCAAAGTAAATTATCGTTTGCTTGGCACTTTGCAAATAATGATGCGAAGTCAACTTTTCGATTTAAACCCGGAAAATAGAAAAACAAATTCGAATCTAATAACTTAAGTCAAAGGTATCGCATAAAACACATACTCAATCGTTGGAACCAATATAAAGTAAACTATTACTTTTATTATTTAATAACTTTCTCATAAAAAATGTATGTATTCTTTTTTCTAGATAATGGGTTTCCGTATTCATAAAAGAAAATATAATTCGTGAAAAAGTCACGTAATACTGAATAAGAATAATAGTCAAAGCCATTTGATAAATAATGACAAATCACATTTTATAAGATTAGTAATGGTCTTTAATTTTCTTTTAAAGACCAGTGACGATGACAATTTTTACGTATAATTTTACTTTTATGCGAAAGGTTTGGCTGGAAGAATAAAACGCCGAGTTCAAAAAGTTGGGGTTAAAATCTATGCACACTGTTTGCTGGGTGAGATATTTGTACACGAAACACTTTTATCTGTATTTGCATCCCTCTTTCTGATTTCTCTAAAAGTTAATCTGTGATTTATTCATATATTTCAACATTATTAGCTTTTATATAAGTGAGTATGCATATGCATTTCACTACAAACCAGTAAAAGTCTGAAATGGCCTATATCTGTACTCGACTGTACTGATTTTTACTCGACCAGTCTGAATTGGTCTGAATTTTACTCGACATTACTCGACCCCAGTCTTAACCATACTCGACCGTACTGATTTGTACTTGACCCTTATTTTTGCCATTGAAAATAGTCTGAACTATTACTCGACCAGTCTGAAACAGTCTTAACCCATTCTCAACCTGTACTCGACCAATTTTTTCAGTCTAAACCATACTCGACCAAAGGTCTGAACAATACTCGACCAGTCTGAACCATACTTGACCAAAAAACCTATACTTTTTTTAATTTTAGCTTTAAAAATTAATTTCTTTTTTTCTGACATGACAACAGCCACAATAAAATAAAGATAATATATAAAAACATATTTTTACATCCTTACATGATTCTCAGATTTATCAAATAGAGATAGTTAAATTAAATTATCTTATACAATAATTTAATTATATTAATTAATTTTAAAGTTTTATAGTTTTGTTAAAAAAAAAGACTTTCTTTTAACTAAAAACCACACCTTTACTGAGGGTAATAAAACCTTATTAACATGATTAAGGTGCTTCTTGTTTGGCTTTTTTTTTTTTTTTTAAACTTAATTTTCCTAAATTCCTAAAGAAAAACTATATAGGTTTCATGGTTACATACAATAGTTATATAATTATCTTTTTAATGAGGTAACAACAGCCAAAAAATCACTGAAATTGTTTAACCTTATATTAGAAATATACCTATTCTTAATATAATTTGGGATATATTATATATAATATATATCAAAAAGGGATAAAAGATTAAAGAAATAGATAAAAAAAATTCTTCTGATTAGTGGTAAAGTATAAAGTAATACCTCCTGCTTGGGGCAAACTCATTAAAAAGATCACACCTGGTCAGAGAGTATTAATTTCTAATTAACATTCATTAAAAATTGCAACATCCTGTAAAACTTAAATCGCAAGGCCTTTTGAATTCACTAGATAAGTAATACACGAGTTTAAGAATAAAAGGGCTTTCTTTTTACCTGTAAAACACACATGTACTGAGGTAATTAAACCTTATTAAAGTGCTTCTTTATGCCATGTCTTTAATTTTGACAAAAGTTATTTAAATTTAATTGAAATAAATTTTTTCTGCAACTTTGGAACACATTTCCTTTTTGAAATGGTTATCAAGGATTGCTATGGAAGTTCTATTATCATGATTATATTAAATTCTTGGTTTTACAAAACAAAGGTGTAATTTTAAAAATTTATGAAGTTGCTTTATATACTATTTTAAATATATTTTAATAAAAAAAATGTTCACTGCATTATTAACTAAACTCAACTGACACCATAAATCTATACAAAGCTTAAGTAAATGGTGAAAATTGTCCAGTAACCATAAAATATATCTGAAACATTCAAAAAAATTTTAATAACATTGAAAATATTAGTCACAATTCAGTTTTGAGATTATTTGATTAGCTTGTTTTATTTTTATTTTAAAGGTGATATATATTTATATGTAAGTGTTGATAAATATGGTGTTGAATTTATATTATGTTTATTGTGAAATTTTGGTTTCAATGCCATATTGAATACATTTTAAATTTCATTAATTGTTGTTCAAATTTCTAGCCAGGGGAAATAGCTGTTAAAAACAGTTCCTAAATTGATGAAATACAATAGATAGATACAAAAATTAGGTCTAGATTGGTTAAGACTTAGTCGAGTATGGTTCAGACTAGGTCGAGTATGGTTCAGACTAGGTCGAGTATGGTTCAGACTAGGTCGAGCATGGTTCAGACTAGGTCGAGCATGGTTCAGACTAGGTCGAGCATGGTTCAGATGAAAAGTAATGGTCGAGTAAAGGTCGAGTACAAGTTCAGACTGTTAAGTATGGTTCAGACTACAGTCGAGTATTATCAAGTAAATTTCAGACCAATTCAGACTGGTCGAGTAAAAATCAGTACAGTCGAGTACAAATATAGGCCATTTCAGACTTTTACTGGTTTGTAGTGTTTATAAATAAACAATTTGAAATATACACACACATAATTATCTTTCATCTGGGGAATGACATAACAATTATTTTCATAATCATTTTTTAGATTTAATAAAAATAATGTATTGCACGGTTAATTAACAATCTTAGATTGACACTGATAAATATTCATAATGACAAACATTATACCTTTGATAAATTGCATAGTCAACCACAATAAGTAATTCTATACTGTATGTCCCCGATGCTCTCTTATGTCTCCTTGTGCCGGATAATTCGTGCCTTTCAATTGAAGATTTTAATTTCTTGTCTGAAATGTGAATTCATTTTCTTGTATTTTGAATGTTTGATATAAATATGAATATATATTAAAATAAGGCGCTCTAATGACCACAGATACAGCTGAACTTGACCTATACATTGTCGTTCATTCAGAGATTTTGTTAAGTGGTACTTTATTTATTATCCGTAAATAAGAAAAGCAATCATATTTTTAAGATAATGAAGGTATATTACTTTAATTTTAAGCGGTAAATGCTTAAAACAATAATTTATCATTTGACCTGTATTCCTTAGTCCATGTCAATGTGTTTAAATTAATATTTTGTCTAGCGGTAATTTAATTATTATCCGGAATCCAAATATGTGACGGACGGACGGACGGACGGACGGACATGTACATCAATATATACCCTTTCATTGAAGCGGGGGATATGATAAAACGTTTGTCTGAAATATAATGATTTTTTTTAATCAAAATTTATCAGTTATTATGATTTAGTCATGACAACAAACAGGGCTAAATTACACTTAAAGTCAAGGAACTACTGTACAGTAAATGGACTGCGTCACAGATTTTGATAAAATTTTGAATACAACTTAGGCTCGTTGATTTATAATTAAAAACCGAAAAAAGTAATTCATTTATCTCTTTTATTTTCTGACATTTTGTTTCAAGAACATTGGAAATGGCATATTTGAGATATGTTCGAACATTAAAAAAAAGTTTCCCATGTGACTTTCGTCAATTAGCATATGAATTTTGTTTTCAAAATGTTGCTGACTACTACCTCTGAAGCCTTTGTTTTTAGCTCGCCTTGATCTGACTTTTGACCTCTAGACAGCATGAACTTAGAGCAATTGCAAATATCACATTTCCAATGTTCTGGAAAAGATTATCTGCTTTTATCCTAATTTTGCAACATCCAAGACAAATTTTGTCATTGACAGTTTTGGAAGATCTGAATGGGCTTCGCACGCTGACGTTTCATTCTTTCAATGAACTAATCTGATTTATTTTTATCTAGGTCTTTTAAAACGGCGAGACTCGAACATCGAAAATCAAAATTTAGATAACTGATGGGGTGCGTAAGAAAATCCGCGCCGTATTACGTTATCCCCCCTTTTTGTAATCTTTCCGACTATATTTCGATTGGTTTAACACCTAAATTTTAACAGCAACTGGGAACACTGTCCGTCATATTTGTATAGGCTATAGCTGATTAAAATACATAGAAATTAAAAATTTAATATCTATCTTCAAGAAAACTTTTCAATTATCTTCATTTAGAAACGACAGGACCACGTGTGTCTTTTTTCTATATGCCTCTTTTGTCATTTAATTCTTTGGAATATTTTACAAACAATTCTTTAAGGTTGGACGCTTTGTAATATGGTCATTTCTCACAAGTATTTTCAAAAGATTATAGACTTGTAAAATAGTATAAAAAGATTATAAATTGTAAAATAGAATAAAATTACCTAGATATAAAGTTTCATCGTTGACGCCTATTGATTCCGCCTTTTTTATTTGAAATTTTCGAAAACCATTTCTATGAGAGGTAGTTTTATCTGTATCGTTTGATTGTAAAATAAATTCACTGCCACCGGACTGGAAAATCCCATACTGAAATTAAAAAAAAATGGATGAATTGGTTATGACATTTTATAAACTAATACACTTTTAATAAATTTAATGTCCTTCTATAAACTAGTTTTATGGTTTATGAATACAGATAAGCAAGGTTGAGTTAATTTGAAAGAATATCTGTTAAATTATGTTCATTAAATAAAAATTCCACCCTCAAATTATGTAGCCTGCTTGTATAAAATTATTTCTATGTCGAAAAATCCCACTTTTGTCCCTAGAGTTGTTATAGTTTAAAATACGATACCGTAGTTATAAAGGTTTAAAATTTTATTTGTTGGAAAAGAAAACAATTTAAATATAGAATACAAATTGTTGAAAAAAAATCAAATCTAATATAGAATATGATGTATTGATTTATCTATTCTCGTCCTTAATATGCTTGAAATATTTGTTACTGGACGCTAACCAAACAACGAATCAATTTTTTGCATGTTTATTGTTTATTAATGAAATATAATAAATAAGAAGATGTGGTATGAGTGCCAATGAGACAACTATCCATCCAAGTCACAATGTGTAAAAAGTAAACAGTTACAGGTCAAAGTACGGCCTTCAACACGGAGCCTTGGCTCACACCGAACAGCAAGTTATAAAGGGCCCCAAAAAGACGTGTGTAAAACAATTCAAACAGGAAAACCAACGGTCTAATCTATCTAAAAAACGAGAAACGAGAAACACTTATGAACCACACCAACAAACGACAACCACTGAAATGCACATTTATACCCTGAGGGATTGAAGGCATATTATAATTAACAATACAATACAAATAAATACACAATGCAAAAATTATAAAATATTAAACATCATAATATATAGAGGTAGTAAAAAAAAAGTAATTATATGTATGCAGGTGTTGTGTCCACTCTCCTCAGTGCAAATAACTTTTTAATGAAAGGAACAGTAAGCTGCAAAATATCATATGAAGATAGAAGTAATTGCAATCTCTCTTTTTGAGATAATTTTAAAAATCCCGGACAAATATTATTTAAGTCTTTTTCAAGCTGTTTTCGTAAAGATTTATTTATTTTACATGTTAAGAAAGGTTTGTTTTATCATTAATATTACAATGTTTACAAAACTTATCGACGTGAGAAATTCGACTTTAATAATAATATTTACGTAAATAAGGAAATTATATTACGGTCATGATTATTTTTACTGCACAAACTTTCCAGACGAGCGGAGACAACGTGACAGTATCTCTTGAAACAAGAAACGTGAAATATGATGAAATATTTCAATAACTGAACACTGCATTGTCAAATTAATCCACCTTTTCATGCTAAATAGTTGACATACACTTCATTCAATGAAAGGCGGCTACTTTTATGGCTTTTAATCTTATTGTAACATGAGACCCGAGCAAATATTAAATCATCATTTTTATGATTTACTTTAAACCACGGGTTTAGATTTATTTCAGATATGAAAGGGTCTATAATTGAGAGAAGAAACAACTTTAATTGAGATTTAGCTATTTTGGTAGATTTGTATGAACCCCAGGACTGTAAATAGGATTTGTAGAAAGACGGAGAATTGTGTCTGAAGCCTCATAAGACCCACGATGATTTGAGGGCAGGGTCTTCATTTGGGATCCGGGAGAAGACGCCTCGTCAGATTCCGGTGTTTTAAAATATTTATATTTTGTTTAATTATACATTTGCACGCTTTCCTCTGGTCATTTACAAATATTTGGTATTCTATGCTTTGTTTATTTTGTCACAAATGATATCACTTGATTTATAAGTTAACTATTTTAGTAGATTTTTATGAACCTCAGGACTGTAAATAGGATTTGTAGAAAGACGGAGAATTGTGTCTGAAGCCTCATTAGACCCACGATGATTTGAGGACAGGGTCTTCATTTTGGGATCCGGGAGAAGACGCCTCGTCAGATTCCGGTTTTTTACAATATTTATATTTTGTTTAATTATACATTTGCACGCTTTCCTCTGGTCATTTACAAATATTTGGTATTCTATGCTTTGTTTATTTTGTCACAAATGAAATCACTTGATTTATAAGTTAACTATTTTAGTAGATTTTTATGAACCTCAGGACTGTAAATAGGATTTGTAGAAAGACGGAGAATTGTGTCTGAAGCCTCATTAGACCCACGATGATTTGAGGGCAGGGTCTTCATTTTGGGATCCGGGAGAAGACGCCTCGCCTCGTCAGATTCCGGTGTTTTACAATATTTATATTTTGTTTAATTATACATTTGCACGCTTTCCTCTGGTCATTTATAAATATTTAGTATTCTATGTTTTGTTTATTTTGCCACAAATGATATCACTTGATTTATAAGTTAACTATAAAGACGAAGAATTGATTTTATGAACAGACAAAAGACTAACTTCATTACAAGCCTAGTGATACGAGACGCATGTAAGAAATCATCCTTTCTGCTATGGGTTGTTTTAATTTGGGACATGAAGAGTGAAAAAATAGAATGCTGTTGTTTACTAGAAAGCCATGCCACCTCCGCGACATGTGTCAAGACCATATTATCAAATCTTAATAGTCCCCGAGTCTAAACTTCAGACACTATGTTAGTTGCTTAGTTTGAATAGTCTTGTTAGTCTTAAGAAAGTTGTGCTGCTACTCGAATATGAAACTCGTATTCTGGTATCATTTGCTTTTCACCATACCTCCCCATTACATATAGAACCAGTGTTAAAGTAATGAATGTACTGCTTTACAGGGGTAGTAATTCCGGGGTCAAATTTATATCATGACCTTAAAAATAACACAAATCATCAAATATATATAATACAACTTCAACCATAAAAATAGTATACAAACCTAACCTGCTATTATTATATTTCCCTACTCTCTGAATGGATTCTATAAATCATTTTATAGTTGAATATTAACGGTCCAACAGGCAAACTTTCGACCTTTTTTCAATAGACGTAAATGATATAATAAAGAACCGTCAAATAATATGGTATAAAAGTTAAATTCCTGTATGACAATCTTTTGTCATGTTTGTAGCAGTTATGAAATAAAGAGTGGCACTAGAAGACATCTGGTTTCACAATTATTGACAACTAAATTAAATCATTTAGAAATTGGATGAAGTCAATATACAAAAAGTATACAAAACAGACATTGTGACAAATCATTTCAGTGATCAAAGGTTTAGCCATTTTGTGCCTTTACCACCAAATGTTCCTTGGCCGTAACAATTGTAATGGTTAAAACTACCCATCTAACTTTAAATGGGAGAACAAAAACATATCATTGAAAATTTTGAAAATATTTTCTAATCATATACTAGTAAGTTATTACAGTTAAATAGGAAGTATCATTTAGAAACATTTTGGCCAAATGAAGATTTTTGTAACTTCCAATTTTACTTCAGACGAATTCAATATAGTGGAAAATTAATTTGTTATGTAAAAAGAAATAAAAAAAATTAAAAAAAATTAAATCAGACAAATGTGTATACATTTGTTAATGTGTCGTACACAATTGTAATCGAATTCACCATTTTGCAAACGTGCAATGTATACGATTGTTACAATCTGATGAAAATCAGAACTTTCACTTTGCTCCGTGATGTAGTTTTGTCTCTCTTGTTAGCTAGCGACAAAGGGACGATGATCTTTGAGTCTTACTTAATTATACTGAGTAAAACAAGTTTTAAAATTAAACTAAACGAATCTTCTAAAAATAACAATAAATACATTATAGTAACAAAGAAAATAAATCATAAGGTTAAATTTTCACTGGACAAAAAATCGATTTTAAAATTTATTTCCTCAATTTTCTCAAATTTTAATTCAAAAGTTTTTTTTAAATTAGGATATATCTTTCTAAACTTTTTGTAACAGTATACATGTACCATGCTTGTAGTTCATGTATGTGTAATAATTAGATTGAAATAGAGGTCTTGATGGGAAAGCTTACCATTGTTTCTGTACTGTCTTTATTGAAGTGAACAAGAAAGGAGCCTCCATTTTCTATTTCTTGATAAAAAACCTGTTCCTAAGATAGATAAAGGATATGGTTCAATAAGCTATTTCATATATCATATAAGTTAGCATGCAAATAATGAAGTTTTAACCATATTTTATCCATATATCTCCACATCTTAACCGCGTGTGAGTTTTTTTTAGTTGCGAGGAAATGGATTCTCGTTACTATTTTTTTGGGGGCGAGAGGGGGCTGTTGTATTTTTGTATTTTTTTTTTTATTTACTTTGTGGTGTTGATTCGATATTGCCTTTCTTTTATAACAGTCCATTTTTCATTTCCGAAATTTAGATGTTGTTTCCACTTTAACTTAAGTTTCTTTACACAAACCATACTTGCATGACATTGTACATACACAATGTTTGTACTGACAGGCCCAGTTTCATACGAATTAAAATGTATTGTCACATTGTAAGAGGTCGCACAATATATCGTGATTATGCCAATTGCTTTATTAGAATAAGAAAATGTGGTATGATTGCCAGTGAAACAACTTTCCACCAGAGACCAAATGACGTAGAAGTTCGCATTATTGGTCACCGTCCAGCCTTTAATAATGAGCAAAATCCATACCGTATAGTAAGCTATAAAAGTCTCGGTAGACAGGGAATACAGTGTGTCTTAACTTATTATAATATTGAGTGAAGATTTTTTTTTATTTAGGCAGTTTAAAAATTGTTCATGCATACCTCTGTTTCCTCGAAAATTTCATTACGCATTAGTCGATCTCTAAGACTTAAAGTCGGTACGTCTGTAGTTAGTCTGTCATTTCTTCGAAGCGAAAGGTGGACCTCTTTACCAGATGGTGCTAATCTTAAATTGAATCGATCAGGATGAAATGTCCCGGATGCTGAACGTTTGTTTCTTTCACTGGCTCTTACTCGTACCAGTATCTCATCTGAAAATGTAACAATAAAATAAATTAAATAACTGTATTTTGTATGTCTAAACTCTTGAAATATTTATACATATGTAAACATATAAAGTGAAACCTGTCTTAAGAGACCACTAAAGGGTGGGCATAAAAGTGGTCTCATAAGACAGGTGGTCTTTTAATACAGTTTCAATCTATATGAAATACACTACAAGGGGGGACTTAGTAGTCCTATAACTCAAGGTTTTGTTTATTCTAGCTGGTCTCTTACGCAGGTTTGATTACATATTGTTTTTTGTTCTTTGCAGGGACCACCTCACCTCACCTATCGTCTCCAGCCGGTCTGTGTTTAAGGCCCGGATACATTTTTGTGAGGATGGTAGTAACGATTGATTGATTGATTGTTGGTTGCTTTACGCCGCATTAGCACAACAAGGCTATATCGCGGCGAGAGCTAATTCGAATATTTTTTTTACAATTTAAAGCATATTCTTAAAATCAGACAAAAGGCCCTTCAATAAACTAAAATTCTAGATTAAAGCAAATTGATTATTTACAAATAAAAATGAACATTAAGATAACGTGATAAAATTTAAAATCGTTTTAAATATAATAACATTTTTATATTTTAGAATATATTCCAACTTCTAAGAATGAAACAATATTTATAAATGGAACATTATTAAATAAATCATACATATTATTGACATTGAAATGCTTCTTACGAATATCAGCATTGAAGTCGCCCATAAGTATAAATGGTGAGGGTAATTGATCAGTGAGGTTTTTGAGTTCAGCTTTATCGATAATTGAATTGGGTGGAATATATATAGAACATAATGTAATTGTTTTATCTAATGATAAACGAATTGCAACTGCCTGCAGATCCGTGGTGAGTTGGACTGTGCTATGAATGACGTTGTCCTTCACAAAAATGGATGATCCGCCTGCAGCACGTTCATCTACCTTAGAAAATGTGCTATACATGTTGTATCCTTTTAAAGATACATTGTCACTTTCTTTTAAATGAGTTTCTTGAAGACAAAATGCAGTAGGTAAAAAAGACTGAACTAGAAGCGTTTACTCGAGAAGATTTATTTTAAGACCTCGGCAATTCCATTGGATGATATTAGTCATGTTTTGTTAATAGACGGGCGAATGCTATCGAGTTTTCCAGCATTCTTATTTCGCTCACCCTGAGATTGTAATCTTTCGGGTGGCGGAACACTTTCGATTTCCATTTCTGATTCGTCGTTAAGTGTTGAAAATCTGTTGTGTGAGGAGAGTCGTCGATCTCCAGGACCATGTGCAGCTGGTTTTACTCCGCCTCGACCCCTACCCCGCGACCTCGAATCAGAAGACTTCTGAGAGGATGTATTTGTTGGCTTCTTTGGGACATCCTTCTGTTCTGGAGAACGAAGAGGAGACGGGGCTTTAGAAGACTTTGTACTAGATGCAGAAGATAAACTAGTTTTATTAGATGCAGATGAAGGAGGACTATTGGAGATGGAAGAATCATCAATGTCACTGGGAAGATCCCAGACAGATTCACCGCCCCAACTGTCTGATTTAACTGTATCTTTTTTATTTGATTTCTTTTTTTCATTTTTTTTAGATGATGACATTGAGCTCTGTAAGGAAGATTGAGTTGACTGAGTACTGGTTTTAGAAGGTGTTGGTTTTCTTGGAATTAATATTTTATCGTTAGGTTCTGTTTCAACAGGCAGCATTGTAAATGTCTCAGCATCAATTGGCCAGGTCATGCGAGTTTGTGTATGCTCGTGACTGAATGAGCGGACAACTTTGCTGGCGTACGATGGTCTGTTCGAAACAAGATCATTCGAAACAGAAGCTATCTGTTTAGCTTCTGGGTAACTGATGTTTCTTTCTGTTTTAATTTTGATAATATTTTTTTCTTTAAGGTAAACAGGGCAGTCCCTAGATGATGAAAAATGGGATTCACCACAGTTTACGCATTTAGAAGATTCAGAGCTACAGGTTGTTCCCTCGTGTCCTTCGTCAGAACACTTGAAGCATCTCTGCGTACCACGACATTGTTTGCTTCCATGACCAAACTTTTGACAAGTGAAGCATCGAATTGGGTTAGGGATAAACCTGTCAACTCTGATTCCGAAGCAACCTAAAGTAATAGATGGAGGAGGAGTTGGAGTTCTAAATGTCAAAAGATATGTATTTAATTTGATTATATTTCCATTCTTTTTTATTTGAAATCTAACAACATCAGTTGAAAGTTCCTCACAGATTTCTTCCACGGTAAGGTCACCAAGGTATTGACTTCTGTCTCGAATGATCCCCTTACAGCTGTTCAAACTGTTGTGAGGAGAGGCAGAAACAGGAAAGTTTGTAATTGTTGTCAGTGTAAGCAAATTTGTTGATTGACTTTTGTTGGAACATTCAACCAACAAATTGCCTGATCTCATTTTTGAAACTTTTTTTACAGTACCAGCAACGCTTTGAATTTGTTTGTGAATCACAAAGGGAGATATTTTGGAAATTGGTTTTTCATCTGTTCCTTTTATTACAATAAATCTGGGCCAACTGTCATCTTCCTGACAGGGCACTGAATCATCACATTTTCTTTTTTTATGTATTAAAGCTGATTTAGAGGGTTGGTTTTGTTGTGCCATAGGAAATGAGAAAGATTCACCATTCTTGTCATCCACCCACCTCGGAGTGCCTACAAGGGCGATGCTGTGTTTCCGTGGCGAGCCGGGGTCAAGTGCTAATGCTGAAAACGAGCTCCAAGTATAACATGTATAACGTAGCTGGTCCCCAAAATTAGCACCCAAGATCCACTGCGGAAAGCACCAGATGTTCCAAGAATGGTATACTCAAGCAGAGCGTATCCATCAAGCGAAATAGAAAGCGTACCACTTGATTGACCCATGAGCCATCGCCTTCTTCAGTTATCCGAAATATAAATAGCTTTATTTTAAACACATGTGTATATCATGAAAATTGTTACAAGAAAGCTTATTGTTGAGGATTAACTGAAGGGCTCGACATGACCAGCCGATTGATCGAACCGGGTCCATCCGACCTCCCGTTTAGATGATATTGGAGCCAAAGCAGCTTATTGAACTATAGTCTTGTCCGTCCGGGTATTTTCTGACCGTAAGGAGTCTGGCTACAGCCCTCATCCGCAAGGATCTCGTCAACCACCGACACGGGTAGCAACCCACGGCCAACGGGTTGGAGAGCCTATTTTATTCAAAACATCGGGCAACTCGTACGATGTTCGGATCACTTTAGTCTGGTCTCTACCCTTCGACCTGTCCAGCATGGGTAACCCTACTAGGAGACGAAGCTCCAACTGGCATAGCTCTTGGGGTCACTGAGACACGCAAGCCCCCCGACCACGGCAAGGATAGCGATCCACCGGGGGGGGGGGGGGGGGGGGTAGTAACGACAATGAACAAATGGAAAGTATACGTCAAACTAAGACATATTAAAATATCCATTTATACTTCATTTTTTTTGATGGATCATTAATGTTTACAGGAAACTAACTGCATAAATAAACAACTTTGTCTATTTTTTACAGAGGGAGTAGACTAAAACAAGAGCAAAATATATAAACCGTATTTGTTATATATAAATAGGCTACAAGTAGGAATGGTCTTCCAATTTCAAATATCAACCTATTCAAGAACGTTTATGTTTAGTTGTCCGTGTTTTTTTGTGTGATAAGAAGTATGTCCAACGACTTCATTTGTATTAATTCCTGAGAACCGTGTGTGTGTTAGAAAAATATTTGTTTTACTACGTCAATACTAGGCTTTTAAGAGCATGTAGAAAAGTGGTTGAGGCTGGTTCATATCTGTCATATTTGTATTTCGTAAATTGTTTTGTTATAAATTATGCCATGAGTTTTTTCGTTTAAATTTGTTTCACATTTTTTATGTCGGGGCTTTTTATAGCTGACTAAACGGTATGGGTTTTTCTCATTGTGGAAGGCCATAGTGTGGCATATAATTGCTTACTACCGATTTTTTAAAACTCTGGTGGAAAGTTGTCTCTTTGACATTCATAGCACATCTCCTCATTTTTATATTATATTTGTCTTTTATTACACTACATTACATTAATTTCTTGTCTAGGTTCCATTGCAGATTTTTTAAATGTAAATTTTATATCTTTTTATGCATCCAACAGGTGCCTATTCAATGTTAAAAAGATACAAAAGATACCAACGGAATAATAAAAAAAACAGAAAAAACGAATAAAAACAGGGAACATGGCAACAAATGATAAAAAAACAAACAAACAAATAGTTCAGATAAATTAAAAGATGAGCAACACAAACCCCATCAAAAACGTTACAAAATTCAGGTTCTCCAGCAAAATGTATCAATCAATCAATATTTATGCAGTCAATCAATCAATATGTATGCAACAAGTCCTCTATTACAGCAATTTCGATATTTTTTGCAAATGTGAAACATTTAGAAACATTAAAGTTCGGGAAAAGGGCCATATTTGTCTTTCAAAATGGCGGCAATGATAACCATTACAGCACATATAAACGGAATACATTCATATATATCTGGTTATACCAGATGTCTAAAAAATCTGTGTTTTTGGAAGAAGTCAATACGCCTATTGTACATAATAAATCAATTGATCTGTGATCATGAATGATTTAAAAATACAACTTGGCAAGGAAGTATATCAATACAAATTGAATACTTTTATGAAAGAATCAAGGCTTCACACATTGATTTTATTGTCCGTTTGAATTGTGTCATTCATAATCAATATTTATAAAGAATAATCGTACGAAACGGAATAGAAATACTTGTAAAACAATATAAAATATTTTGTCTGTAGAATGTCAAATATATTTATAGATATAGTCATTTCACACAGTATATTGAGTCACTCTATATATGTGTATGTACATGAAATATTTGCCACTGGATGTTCAAGCAAACAAAAAATCGATCAATAATATATTCAGTTTTACATTATCGTATAGTTATATTTAGGGAACATTTATTCAA